TTTTAGATATGATAACTCAATCCTTCTAAGATTGTTCGCTCTGACCTGCTCGGTTGTCATTTTCACGTCTATATCCCAAACCCCCGATACCCGCCCTCTTTGTATTCGACCGTACCCCCCTTGGTGGTAGAACTTCCTCACGTCCCACGTGTACTTGACGCAGCCCCTAGCACAGGGCAAGGGAGGGAGGAGGGAAGAGACAAGGGGAGGGAGAAGGATGAAGTTCGAGAGAGGTTAGCAAGAGGGGCGTTTGGAGCAGGAAAACAGGCGGCATAACCAAACGGGTGCGTCGGGCAAGCGGATCCTAACGGGTGGGTAAGGCGGGCGGCCCTTGACGGCCGGGCCGGGCCGAGCGGGCGGGTCGCTGAAGACTCAGCCTGCGCGAATCGCGGGGAAGTCTCGAACGATAGCACTATTCCCGTGGTCTCTGAGTGTCGGGGGCGCGGCGTTTCTATAAATTGCGAGGAGGTCACACGCGAGAGCGCGATGACTGCATAAGTTGCGAGGATGGCCCGCGCGAGAGCGCGATTGTGAATAAGTTATGAAGAGCGCGAGAGCGGGCGGGAGCCGTTGTTCTGGCAGTTCTGGGGCCAACAACGCATTCTGAGGCTCAAGATTTCCCCTTGTTAAAACTACCCCAGTGCGACCTACCTAGAAGTTGGAGCCCCTAGGAAAGCAGCATTAGTTGCTATGCTATGCTATGCTATGCCATGCTGCGCTATGCTATGCTATGCTATGCTGCGCTACGCTATGCTATGCTATGCTGAGCTATGCTATGTCATGCTGCGTTGTGCTATGCTAAGCTGTGCTATGATATGCTATGCTATGATATGTTGCGCTATGCTATGATATGCTATGATATGCTATGCTATGATTGGCGATGTGATGCTATGATATGCTATGTTATGTTATGATATGCTGCGCTATGATATGCTATGCTATGATATGTTTGGCTATGTTATGTTATGCTATATGCTGATGCAGCGCTGCGCTATGCTAAGCTAAGCTAAGCTAAGCTAAGCTAACCCTCTAGGCAGAGCCTAGGTAGGGAATTACACCCATGCTAAGGATAAGCTAAGTTAATATAAACCTTAGCTAAGATGAAGCTAAGTTAAGCTATGCTAAGATGAAATAAGCTAAAGCTAAGATGAGATCAGCAACGCTAAGCTAAGGGAACGTCACTGGGGGAACCGCGGGGCGGATCCTGGGGGAACCGCCCGGGGCGTGGAACACTGCCCGGCCCTTTAAGCCAACACGGTAAGAACCCTTCTAGGCAGAGCCTAGTTAGGGAAAATTGATGCAAGCCTCAGCGAAGGCATTTCAATTGAGGCAACACAACGCGCACCGGAAGGGGGGATCAACAGTATTGGTTAAGAAATGAGAGTTCAATTATTTGAGCACTGTTCGTTCTGATCTGCTCGCGTGTCATTCAGCACGTATATCCCAAGCCCTCGATATCCGCCATCTTCATTTTCGATTGTACCCCCTTTGGGGGTAGATCTTCCTTACCTGCCACGTGTATTTGGCGCAGCATGTCAAAGAGGGAGAGGGGGGGACGAGGGGAGGGACAAGAGGGAAGCAGAAGGACAAAGCACGAGAGCATTTCGCAGGAGGGGCGTCAGGAGCCAGGAAAAGTAGCGCTGACCAGCCCGGCGGGTCGGGCGGGCGGATCCTAACGGGCGGGTCGGGACTGCGGGCATTGACGGCCTGGTCGAGCGAGCGGGCAGTTGAAGATTCAGGCCTGCATGAACCGCGAGGAGTTTTCGAGCGATGCCGAGATGTCAATGTAAATCGTGAGACAATACAAAGCAAGAGCATGATGGTAGAGTGTCAAGGCCGCGGCGTTTCAATAAATTGCGGGGACGTCCCACACGAGACGGCGATTCTTTACAAATTGTGAGGAGGTCCCGCGCGAGAGCCCGACAGCGAATATATTGTGAAGGGGTATCGGGCGGGAGCCGTCGTCTTAGTTCGGGGGCCAACAATGCATTCTGGGGTTCAAGACTTTCCGATGTAAAAAACCGATCGCGAGCAGCGGGGAGGCACTACAATTGAAAAGTATCCTGGCGAAGGTCCCAACCATATGCAGCTGTGGTTACCGTAATTGTGAATATCTGCTTCGGTGAAGCTCCCTATGGGGCCACGAAGCGCTGCACTAGGCGGGGGGGAACGCTGTACTGTGTGGGTGGTGTGCCGACTTGGGGTTCTGGGACGCATGCGGACGGTCCCACTGAGGGTTTCGGTGGAGCTCCCGATGGGGCCACGAAGCGCTCTACTGGTTTGAGTGAAAATGCCAAATTAGGTTACCGGGACGCATGCGGACGGTCCCATTGGGGGCTTCGGTGGAGCCCCCTGATGGGGCCACGAAACGCTGTACTGCGCAGGCGGAAATGCCAAATTACATATCCCGGACGGTGGCCCTGGGGCCTTGGGTGGGGCCCCCTATGGGGCCACGAAACGCTGCACTGGGTGGATGAAAATGCAAAGTTGGGCTTCCGGGACGCATGGGGACGGGGGCACTGGGGCCTTCGGTGGAGCTCCCTATGGGGCCACGAAACGCTGTACTGGGTGAGCGAAACGCGAGGAGGAGGGGGAGGAGGGCCACGAAACGCTGTACTGGGTGTGCGGGACGCATGCGGACGGTAGCGCTGGGACCTTCGGTGGGGCTCCCTGTGGGGCCACGAAACGCTGTACTGGGTGTGCGGGACGCATGCGGACGGTAGCACTGGGACGTTCGGTGGGGTTCCCTGTGGGGCCACGAAGCGTTGTACTGGGTGGGTGAAACGCAGGGAGGAGGGGGAGGAGGGCCACGAAACGCCTGTACTGGGTGTGCGGGACGCATGCGGACGGTACAACCGGGACCTTCGATGGAGCTCCTTGTGGGGCCATGAAATGCTGTATTGGGTGTGCGGGACGCAAGCCGACGGTAGCATTGGGACCTTCGGTGGGGCTCCCTATGGGGCCACGAAACGCTGCACTGGGTGTGCGGGACGCATGCGGGCGGTAGCACTGGGACCTTCGGTGGAGCTCCCTATGGGGCCACGAAACGCTGCACTGGGTGTGCGGGACGCATGCGGACGGTAGCACTGGGACCTTCGGTGAGGCTCCCTATGGGGCCACGAAACGCTGTACTGGGTGTGCGGGACGCATGCGGACGGTAGGGAGGAGGAGGGGCACGAGAGGAGGAGAACGCGGGGACCGTCTCTTCAAAACGAGGACCCAACACCACATGATGGTTGGGAAAAACAATTCGCACCAGAAGGGGGGATCAACAAGAAGTAGTTCAAATGAGTTCAATAATTGGAACACCGTTCGCTCTCTGCTTCTCGCGTGTCATTCAGCACGTGTAACCGAAACCATCGATACGCGCCCGTTGTCGTCTTCGATCGTAAGCCCCCTTTTCGGGGGGTGTATATTCCGTGCGTGCCACGTGTACTTCGCGCGGCCAGAAGTTGGACGAGGAGAGAGGCAGGAAAAAGGGAGATAGCGAGCAAGGGAGGGGGAAACGATAAGGGAGGGGGGCAGGATGAAGGGAGCAGCACTGAGGACGAAAAAGATGCCGCAGGAGGGGGATGAGAGCGGCGCAGGAAGATTGGCGAGCGGGCAAAAGAAGACGGGTCGGGCGGGCGGGCCCCCACGCGCGGGTCGGACGGGGCATGGAAGCGAATTTCGCGCATTGCGACGAAGTCGTAGGCGAGAGCACGATTCCCGAGTAGATTGTGGGGGGGTCTCATTCGTTCTGTGACGTCAAGTGCGCGGCGCCTGCAAAAGCTACAGGGAAGTCCCGAGCGAGAGGGCGCGATTCCTGGGCAAAGCGAGAAGAGGTCTCGAGCGAAAGCGCGGTTGCTTAATGAGCTGGGAGGAGGCGTCAGGCGGGAGCCGTTGCTGTTGCAGTCTGGGGCCAAACAACCCAGTTTGAGGTTCCAGACGCTCCCTGAATGAAGTGCGAGTTTTTCAATGTATAAAAATGCAGTGGGCACCAGGCGGGGGATGATCAGTAGTAGTTACTTCTCAGAAGCGGGAGTTCAATAATGTTAAGACTGGTCGCCCCACTCATTGCTCGCGTGTCACTCAACATGGCTTCCCGAAGCCCTCGACTCCCGCCCACTCCGTTTATGAAGATATCCCGCTTGGGAGGGCAGATTTTTACACGCAAGCTGACAGGCGGTCGGGCAAGGGGACCCTGACGGGCGGGTCAGGCGGGTGGGCCATAAAAGCGGGCAGGCGGCCTTCCAAGCACACGAGCCGGCGCACCCTACCGGGCGGGGCCAGATGGCGGGCCCCGACAGACGGGTCGGACCAGCGGCCCCAGACGGACGGAAAGGGCAGACGGACTTTGACCGACGGGCCGGGCGGGCAGGACATTTAAAGATGGCGGCGATGAGATCCCAGGTGGGACGAATTCTTGTTTGCGAGAGCACGATAACTAAGTAATTGTCAGGAAACAGACAGCGAGACCGCAATTCTTCAGTAATGTGTAAGGATGTTCCCAGCGAGAGGGCGATTCGTGAGTAGATTGAAAGGAAGTCCCTTGCGAAAGCACGTCTCCTCCAAAGGCTACAGCACGATACCTGAATAAATTGCAAGGAAGTTCGCGACGAGAGCGCGATTCCTGAATTGCTTATTGACGCGGAAGGCCACACCCTCCTGCTCCCCTTCATGGCGGAGCTCGGACGCGTCGGGTCGATGAGCTCCCTCAACGAGGCGAACCTAGTGGTCAAACGCGCCCAAGAGGGCGAAGGCGCAGCTCGGCGCCACCCAAAGCCGTCGGGCCGGCTCTCGGCATCCGACTACCCCAAAATGCGGGACCCCTTGTGGGGAGGGGGCCATCGAAGCGGCCAGAGCACCGCTGCAGGACCCAGGGGGAAACAGGTCCAGCAGGTGCTCCCCGCCAATACCACAATCGACCACATGCCTGAGGCACGTGGAAGCGATGCTACCCAGCATGGTCCAAGCGAGTACTACGAGGAGTACTGCGAATTCAACCCCATGCTTGGGGAGCTACCGGGCGACTGGCGAAGCCGACTGTCCCTTTGCAAGACTATCCTCGGGCCGACTGGCGACGCCGAGCTGAAGGTGGACGATCTGGACACCCTCTTCGCTATCGAGGCCCAGGCCATGCTGAAAGCGAGGGCTCTTCTCGGGATTGACGCTGACGACTCCGCCAGCGAGCCCGAGGAGCAGGACCCAGAGGAGCAGATCACCCTGCTCGAAGCGAGGGCACTTCTTGGTATTGACGCTGACGACTCTGCCAGCGAAGCCGAGGAGCAGGACCCAGTGGAGGAAGACGACGACCTCTTCGCGGCCAAGCTGGCCGAAGCGAGGGCACTTCTTGGCATTGACGCTGATTACTCCGCCAGCGAAGCCGAGGATCAGGACGACGACGTCGATGCCGACGCGGCATATGAGGCCGCACTGGCCGAAGCGAGAGTTCTTTTCGAGCTCGACGACGACCTCTTCGCGGCCAAGCTGACCGACGACGAGTCCCACGAGGTCGCTGTCGAGAACGGCGACGGCGCCCGGAAGGTCCCCGTGAGAGTGGCGTGGGCCGACCTCGAGGATTCCCCGAGCGAGTATGACGAGGAGTGGGAGCAGGTGCACGCGCGCGATTGGGCGAAGGTGGCCACCACGAGCCACCTTCCAGCGGCGAAGGCAGCCGACCCTCCGGAGCAAAGCCGGTGCCCCGCCACACGGCGTACACAGCGGCCGCGGCGCCGGCGCCGAGCTGGCGCCCAGCCCGCATCGTGACGGTCACGCCGGGAGAGTTTGGCGGCCACGTTACCAGCTCTCCTGAGGCGCATCAAGTGGCTGCCCCCTGAGCGGGGCGCCTGGCCCCCCGTTCCCTGGCGGATCAAGGGTTGGGGCTGCATCGAACGACGTCTCACTTCCAAGGCCGCCCCGTGCGGGGCTAAGATTGTTTGAGATCGACGCTTTCCATCGGCTTCTCGTTCGACGAGCGGGTGGATTTCCTTTTACGTTTCACGTCTGGTCCGACGCTTTGTCGAGGACCCACTTACGCATGGAGAACGGGGCGGCCCCCCGATAGCTCCATTTTCACGCAGGGTCATCGAGGTGGACCTCGGTTTGGACCTTCTTCTAGCACCACTCCAGAGTTAGGGTGGTTTGCTATCAGCAGGTGTGTCGCGTATCCTCACCACTCCTCATACCGCCCTCTGGACTTTTCCTTGCGGGCCGCAAATCAAAAAAACATCCTCACCACTTAGCCCCGTACCGTGACCCGGACGCCGCTTCCGCTCCCTGCCCGTTGCCTCGGAGCCACCGACCAAAAAAGTATCCTCACCAGTCCATCCAGAAACGATGACGATGGCGATGACAGTGGCGGCAAAGGCGGCGCTGACGAGACAACGGCGGCAACGACGAGTACGGCGCCAACCACGGCCACGGCGCGGACGACGACGGCGGCAACGACGGCCGCAGCGGCAACGACGATGGGGGGCGGTGGGGGGGGGACGAGCAGGACAGGCAGGCGGGCTAGGCGGGCGGGCGGGCGGGTCGTGCCGGCAGGGCAGGGGAAGGGCTAGGCAGAGGCGGAGGGCGTGGAGCGCCCCGGTGGGGTGCGAGCAGAGGTCTTCTACCAGACGATGGACTGGGCGAAATTCAGGGAGGCGGCCCCACCTTCCGCGGCGCGGAGGGGCCCCAGCATCCGCGGGAGGTGCCGCGTGCTGTGCGGAGGCGTACGCTCTCACACGGGTATTCTCTCAAGGGGGAGGCGCCCTACCAGCCCATCCAGAATCGTTGCCCAGACGAGTTGCCCGAAGTGGAGATGTGGAGGAGAATGCAGAGGAGTAAAGGGCTGGGTAAGACGTCGCACCTCAAGAGGGGGAGGATGGAGGAGGAATCGGAGGAGAAGCAAGAAGAGGAGGAGGAGGAGTAGGGAAAGGGGGGAGGGGAGAAGCGAGGAGCAGGAGGAGGAAAGAGGAGGAACAAGTGGATGAGGAAGATGAGGAGGAGGAGGAGGAGGGCGAGCGGAAAGGACAGAGGCCTCTCGGATGTTTATCGGAGTCTCTTCGGATTTCTTTCGAGAGTTTGGGGGTCTCTTGGCAGTCCCGGGTGGTGCCTCTTGAGGCGTTTGGGGGGTTTCTTGGAACCTCTTGGGGGTCTCTTGGGAGCCTATTGGGGGCATATTGGGCGCCTCTTGGGGGTCTATTGGGGCCTCCTGGGCAGCTCTTGGGGCCCTCTTGGGGCACCCTGTGGAGCATCGGGGGCCATGTTGGGGCCATCTTCGAAGTGATCGATCAAAGGAAAGGGGCTCCTTACTTCGGGTACCCCCACGAGGTCAAAATGTGGCCCAAACCTTAGCAAAGTCAATGATGTTGACCTTCTCGCCGAGGCCTACTGGGGCGTCTTGGATGCCTCTGGGAGGCTTCTTGGGGCGCCTTGGGGGTCTCTTGAGAGCCTGGCCTCCTGGGCACCTCTTCGGGCCATCTTGGAGCACCCCTGGGGGCCATCTCTGGGCCGTCTGGAAGGAGATCGACCAGGGTAGGGGAGCACCCCAGCAGGGTCCCCCCCCAGGAGGCCAAGATGTGGCCAAAACCCTCGTAAAATCAGTGATGCTGGCTTCCACGCCGAGGTCATCTTGGACGCTCCCACGGCCCGCCGCCCCTCCCGCCCCTTGCAGAGGAGGACGAGGACGAGGAGGAGGAGGAGGAGGAGGAGGAGGAGGAGGAGGAGGAGGAGGAGGAGGAGGAGGAGGAGGAGGAGGAGAGGAGGAGGAGGAGGAGGAGGAGGAGGAGGAGGAGGAGGAGGAGGAGGAGGAGGAGGAAGGAGGAGGAGGAGGAGGAGAAAAAGGAGGAAAAGGAGGAAAAGGAGAAGGAGGAGGAGAAGGAGGAGGAGGAAGAGAGGGAGGAGGAGGAGGAGGAGGAGGAGGAGGGTAAACCCCTCCCCGAAGGGGAAGAAGGGGGGCTGGAGGAAGAGACTCGCTAAACCACTCACGCCCAGGGGGCTGGTGGGATTCTCTGACCTGCCTCTGCGTGTTGGGTTTGATGCCAGCTCCGCCCAGATACTGCGCGTGGAGTCTCAAGATGACCTGTTACACCGTAGCCACATTACCTCAAACCATACAAACAGGGGCTCAAAACTCTCTTACATAGATTGTTATTCTCGGTTCGATCCACTGAATGACGTCTCGTTTCGTTGACCCTTGTTTGATCCTGTTTACTCAGTCCTCTATCAAAGACGCGTTCCAGAACGGCTTGAGCTTGGAGGAGACCGCATGCCAGTTGGCGAGCAAGGATACACAGAAGCGAGACATTCAGATGATGCGTGTAGTGGAGCACACCGACGGGAGAGCCTATAGCTTGGACAACCGGCGGCTAGCCGTGTTTCGTTTATTGCGTTTGGTCGGCAAGTGTGGTAAGATCAAGATCATGGTTATCCCGAAGCCCGATGCCGAGTGGCGCAAGAAGTTTGACCCATCCGCCGACCACTCAAAGATCCTGGTTCGTGGCCCCAGGTGGATCGTCGGGGCGACGAGATTGGACACGACCTTCCCCTTGGATCGTATCAAGGCAGCGATGAGGGACTCCGTTTTGGTTTCGGATGCCAGGGTTTGCTCGATCCTCGAGGGCATGGACAGCGACGACGATGCGGAGGATGACGAGGTGCTCGCCGGTTTGCGCGGGCGTCCCGCGAGGCCGAAGCAGGCTGCGAAGAGCGCGCCGCGCAAGAAGAATGCGTCGGACCAGCGCAGGGGCGACAAGAGCGGCGGTAATCTCCACTTCCCCGACGACCTCGAGCCCTTTGCCGCTGGGAAGTCACGGTATACCTACCGGTGTCGTGTGCAGCGGGGATGTGTCATGGGCTTCCCCGAGGGCTCCTATTTGGTTTTGAAGGCATTCAAGCCAGGCTTCGCCAACCACCAGATCACGAGCAAAGACGTGGCCATGCAGCAGGAGGTCGCACGGCTCGCTGCCCTCTTCAACGATAATGTGCAGCCGAAGCAGAACCAGCAGCCTTGCCTGATCTACGTCCGCGATGCGGCGATCGTCAGCTTCGCACGGGACGTCCATAAGCAGAGCACTGGCAAGGTCGTTCTGCCACGGGGGGAGAGTTTTCTGCTCGAGCGGGAGATTTTCGGTGAGTTCCGGAAGTTCAACTCGAACAACGGTTGGGCAACGAAGACTGGGGGCGAGATACCGCAGGCGTTCAGCCACTGGACTTGGGCGAAGTATCGGAAGCTGGTCTGCGACCTGCAAGGCTACCAGGGCAAGCCGCCAGGCCCCAAATACCTCGGCTCCGCGTACTACTACCTCTTCACTGATCCCGCGATCATGAGCATCGATGGCAGCTACGGGCTGACTGACATGGGTATGCGCGGCATCGAGAATTGGTTCTCGGCTCACACTTGCAGCGGCATGTGCCACGCGCTGGGGATCACCGCCGACCGCCCAGTCGGCCGAAGGACGATGTCCGTGGAGTCCTCGTCGTCCTACCGTGAGACGAGCAACTCGTACGCTCCGAGGGCCCTGGCTCCCCGCAACGATCTCGTCTTCGGCCTCGGGTCGCTCAGAGAAGCTTTACAAGAGGAGCTCTCAGATTACGACTCTGACTATTGATTTGGTCTCCAGCTCTGTTCATCGCTGCTCGGCCTTGGCATTTTACGTGCTGTTGCTCGAGGTTCGTTTTGAAGGAAAGGACACGGGCGACCATGTTTTCCACATGGCCTATTGTCGGGCACATCCGGGGGGTGTCACACAAGGGATGCATTTCTACGCATCGGTGCCAAAGCGCCGTTTGCTGGGTCTCTGACAGGCAATGTCTGTGTTGATGGTCGGTAAGGGTCTTCAGTGAAAAAACACATGCACCGTCTCTCATATCCAACGTTCCTTGATGTTTCGTTGTGGTCTCCCAGCCGAACGTCTTCTCAACATTCCTCCGCTTTCTCCAGACATCTGCGCTGAAGAATTATCCTGGTGAAGGTCCCAACCATATGCAGTTGTGGGTACCATAATTGTGAATATCTGCTTCGGTGAAGCTCCCTATGGGGCCACGAAGCGCTGCACTGGGCGGGGGGGGAACGCTGTACTGTGTGGGTGGTGTGCCGAATTGGGCTTCCGGGACGCATGCGGACGGTCCCACTGAGGGCTTCGGTGGAGCTCCCGATGGGGCCACGAAGCGCGATGGTTGGGAAAAATAGAGGCGTTGACACGAAAAAGTAGTTGCGAAGGCCTCACGGCCAGTGCTGCCGACCCAGAAGGACGACGACGACGACGCGAACGACGACGACGACGACGACGACGACGACGACGACCATCACGACGACCATCACGACGACCATCACGACGACCATCACAACGACATCGACAACGACGAGCGGGCGACCCTGCCGCAGGCTCGGGACATGGGGTGGGCAGTAGAGGGAGGAGGAGGAGGAGGAGGAGGAGGAGGAGGAGGAGAAGGAGGAGGAGAAGAAAGAGGAGTAGAAAGAGGAGGAGGAGGAGGAGGAGGAGAAAAAGGAGGAGAAAAGGGAGGAGAAAAAGGACGAGGAGGAGGAGGAGGAGGGAGGAGAAGGAGGAGGAGGGGAGGAGGAAGAGGAGGAGGAGGAGGAGGAGTTGGAGAAGGAGGAGGAGAGCGGTCTGCCTTCTCGGGGGCGGGCCAGGGGTGGGACTGGGCCGCGGTCAGAGCCAGGGCCCGGGCCGGTGCCGGCCCGAGGCCGGGGCAGGGACCGGGGGGCCCCGGGGCCGGGAACTGGGGCCGGGGCCGGGGTCGGGGCCGGGGCCGAGGCGGGGGGGACCAACTGGAGTGGGGTCACGCGACCCCTAGGACCCTCCCCAAGACCCTTTTTCCAGGACCCCCCCCGGACGCCCCCCCCTTTGGGACACTGCGCTGACAAAAGAGTTGTCCAGCGTGGACACAAAAGAGTGATTGTTCATTCTGGCGTGCAAGTTGCCTGGTGCAAGCAATGGTGGTGTAAGGTATGTGTTGCACTATTAGCGGATGCCAGCTGCGTGGTTCAAGCTACGCGATGTAAGCTATGTGGCGAAAGCTACGCGGTGAAAGCTCTGTAGTCCCAGCTACGTGTTGCAAGCTGTGTGATGCAAGCTATGCGGTGCAAGCTATGCGGTGCGAGCTGTGTGGTGTCATCGATGTGGTGCAGGCTATGTGGTGGTAGCTATGGGGTGCGAGCTGTGTGGTCCACAATGCGTGATGTCAGCTATGCGGTGGAAGCTGTATGAGCTCCCACGAAGCGTCCACGGACAGGCACCAGCCGAAAACTTGGAAGTTCTCATCAAGCCCTGTTTAGAAAGCAGATAGGTCCCCCAAGTGCAAGCATGATTCGAGGAGGAGGAGGAGGAGGAGGAGGAGGAGGAGGAGGAGGAGGGGAGGAGGAGGAGGAGGAGGGGAGGAGGAGGAGGAGGAGGAGGAGGAGGAGGAGGAGGAGGAGCAGGAGGAAGACGAAGAAGAAGAAGAAGAGGAGGAGGAGCAGGAGGAGGTGGAGGAGGAGGGAAGAAGAGGAGGAGCAGGAGGAGGTGGAGGAGGAGGAGGAGGAGGAAGAGGAGGAGGAGGAGGAGGGGGGGGGGAAGAGCAAGAATCCGTAGGTGCAAGCACTGTTTTGAAGATGCGCGTCCTAGCTGCGCGCTCTGTCGTGTTCCTCTGAGCCCCGCGAGGTCCTGGGCGTGAAGGAGAGACCCGCTCTCTCAGAGCCGGACTCCTGACAGCCTGGGCGTCGGCCAAGACCCTGTCGAGCGCGCACCGCCCACCCTCACTCGGAGAGCAGGCAGGCGGAGGGGGGGGGAGGCGAAGTGGAAGATCGAGGTGGAAGATATAGGCAAGCCAGGCGCGCTCGCGCCACATTCGACGCACGGCCCCTCCCTCCCATCCCCTCCCTCTGCGCCACGTCCTTTGGGATCCACTGGATCGCGTGTCGAATCAGACCTTGACGTCTAGATGGCATCTGCAATGATTGACACGTCGCTCACTGTGCGAAGGGCAGAGGGGCCAGACTGAACCAGCGAGGTCGGGTGGTAAAGCATATCCTCCGCTAGCACCCCGATCCGGTCCGACCCGACTCCGAACTGGTTCGGTTGCGATCCGATCCCCAAAAACGCTCTGATCCGATTCCGATTCGAGCTCCGGCTTCCGATTTCCGAGCCGATGTTGCGATTGTCGATTGCCGATTTGGCCTCGATTTCAGAAGATCTGGTGGGATCCTGAGTTCGATTTCCATCCAGCTCCCGATTCGGTACTGACCCTTGCTGCCCCCCCCGGTCCCCAGCCCTCCTCCGACCCCCTCCTTCGATCGGGGGCCCTCTGACGGTGTGGTGACCGCACCGTGCGGCGAGTCGGTGGAGGGGATTCGGGATCACCGCACGATCTTTTGGGATGTGGGTCGTTCTCCGAGGTTGTCTCGGGCGATTGGGGCCTCCAGGGTCCCAAGACCCCGCGGTGACGGACCGCGCGGTGAGATCTCCTGGGGGTTCGAGGTCACAATGCGGTGTGCCACCCCAGACATGAGATGTCTTGATTTTTTGAATACGGGGTCCCCGGAAGTCCTGACAGGGCCGGTTTCTGATTTTGAGTCATGTTAGGACGGTCCCGTGACCCAGTAAGGGCCCCAGAGACCCAATAAGGCAAAACAAATCCAGTCCTGATTCTTCCGGGACGTGAGCTCGCATATCTAGGATTGGACAGCCAGTCGGCAAGTCACTGGGCCGATCGGGCCGACGTCGCGAAAAAATGGAAACATCCAAATCAAAAACAAAAACACAAACTAATGAGTATTATTATTTATGAATATAAACAGTAATAGTTGTAAGGATAGTAGTAGAGAAGAACAACAACAAAAAAACAAAAAGCAGAAAACAAACAACAATAAACAAAAAAATAGGGTTCTAGACTCCGTCTTTCTGCGCCATCTTTCGAGCCAGGTCGATCTGCGAGGGCACCAGACCCCCGCAACGAGGCGAAAGCGCCCGGCTCGAAGACATGGACACGCCAGGGTCGTCTCAGGGTTCTCGGACGCCCCAGTGGACCGCCGGCCGGCCAATCACCGGGCCGATCGGATTCCGCAAGCCCCGCGGGGCGCTCGAGCCCGCACGCCTGGCCGACCGAGGCAGCCGAGCCTGCTGCCCTGCGCTCCGCTCCAGCGCTGCGGCGGGGCCCCCCGGCCTGCGGCGTCCTCGGGCCGTGCAGGGCGCGGGCCCTCTTCCGCTGGACGCCCCTGAGATCGGTGCGGTCGGCACGGGTACGGAACGAACGGGTGCAAGGAGACACTAGCAGCAGTTCCTGTCCACCTTGAGCAGGTGTCGCCGCCCGGCGTCGCCGCGGCTGTTGTCCACTTGAGACAGGGGGCCGCCTGCCCAGCAGCGGCCGCCGTCGGTTCTGGACAGCACCTGTCGTTGGGCATCGTGCCCATGCTCAGCGTACACCCATGTCGGGCGTCCAGATGAGAGCTGGGCCGCGTCGGAGGCCTGCGCCCCCCCCCCTTGGCGGCGCCTCCAGCGTCGCCCCCAGCGCGCTCCGCGCGCCACGGGAGGTGGTTCGGTGCCGAAGCCAAGACATCCGCGCGGAGCTCCGCGAGGTCACGCGTACGATCAGGAGCTCTGGCTTCGCGTGTCGCGCCGCAGGTTCTGGCCCGCACGCCTCGACGCGACTTTCTACCCACCTCGCCGCCGCCGCCGCGACACGCGGTGCGAAAGCTCTTGGGAGGCACAGGCAAGACACCGAAGCAAGGGCCGCCTTGGACTCGGGAGGGGCTCGGACTTTTGGGCCGCTCCTCGGGCTCGTGTCGTGGAGCCCAGAAAGGCCCCTTCCTTTCTTATTTTGCGTTCCTTCTGGTAGCGTTAGGTCGGGCATGTCCTCCTACGCGAGGAGCATTCAAAAATAGTAATTCAGAATAGTCTGGGGACGGATTTACGGCTTTTCCGACTATGTTTGTTAATTGTTTGACTATTTTCTAGTTTCTGTCCAAAATCCCCCTCTAGGGGGAAATGCCCGACCTATGGTAGCGCGCTGATTCTGGAGGGGTCAACCAACGCCAGCATCAGTGGTTGCGTCCACCAAGGCGACCTCGGTGATGGCGGTAATATTCGGGCGTACCAGGTGGCTGAGAGATTACCACCAGCACCGAACCCAGGATCGTATTCCCCTGGTGGAGGAAACGCCCTGCGCTGGAGTTGGTGCCCGCTCCCAGGCCCCCAACAGCGCCATTCTGCCACGAACGTCTTCGTCCAGTCTCGGGCACGGGGCCAGCACAGGTCGACTTGGCTCGAAGAGCGGCGCAGAGGGATGAGGTCCCGGGCTCTGGTCGTGCGATGGTTGACGATCTGTTGCCACCTGTTCGCGACGTCGTATCTCGTCGGACGGGGCTGGGACGAGGACAAGTCCGTTCCAGCGCGTTCCCGAACGCGCTGAGGAGGCCGTGGCGCCCGAGACATCCCACAGACCCGCAGGATCTCAGAGATTCTCGATCTATCCTCTCCCGATGTTGTCCTCGTGTCTGATCTCAGGGACGGCGCCACAGAAGCGCGGTGGGCGGAGCGGAGTCACGATCGGAGGCCTATCGTCGATCCATCGGCGATGTATCGCCGATTCCAGGTCGATGTCTCCCCCCCTGTGCCAGTCCCCCCCGATCGTTGTCCCTCATTTTTGGGGCCTTCATCGATGATCCCCGGGTTGGTGGCAATTGCGGTGTAGCCTTCAGGGGGGGGGGGGGGGGGGGAGAAAGGGGCCCTTGATGGCAATCTTTGGGCCCCTGCTGGCTCCGAGAGGCCCGAAAGGGCCCTTTTGGGGTCTTTCTCTTCACCCCCCCCTGCAGGTCCCCCCCCATAAAACCACCCGCCCAAGAGATCC